GGCTGTCCCTTGGTAGGCCGCACACATCGTGTAGTCGTTTTCGTTTGATGAAGTTCGGCACGACTCGGTGTTTCAGGCAGCGGCGGAGGAAGAGTATCGTTTGTCTAGCCAAGACAATTTTTTGTCTTAGTGACAGGACTTCTTTTACAAGTCGGAAATATTCTGCTGGCACTCCACGTAGTAATTCCCATGACCGACTTTCTGTTAACCTCGGCATTAATTGATAATTCAATGTTTTTCATCAATAAGCAGACACGAGGTATAGTGGGCTCTGAAGAAGGCGAGACCGCCGAAACGTCAGCAATTGTGTTCTAATAAATTCTATATTAACAACCTCGTGTCTGCTTATTGATGAAAAACATTGACTTCTTTTATCGCCTGTCTCTACTGTTCTACAAGTTCGCACGTCAGTTGGCGAGTGCCACTAGCTCGCGCGATTCCACGCTGGCGTATCGGTCCTAGTGTTCCTGGACTGAGACGTCTCGTAGTTACTTTCGAACTCTCAACTATCATTGCGCTAACGTGAATATGTTGAACGAGCCGACCATATTGCTCGTTGATGTTATCGAGAAAGGTACCTTCACAAGCGGATTGATGAACTGTATCAATCTCAGTTTATGGTGTTTTTGGGACTTCGTTTTGTGAAATCAGAGGCGTTTTCTCCTTTCCGCAAGAAGTGAAATCTTTCACAAATGAGCCGATGGTCTTATGCTATGTATAATCTTGGAATAACATCGAGATCGGTTAGGCAAAACCTTTGATTAACTATGACTTACTATGCCGTATTTTATGATTTACTACGTGGTCCATTTCGCTGTGGTACCCTCCATTGGTAGACTGCTGCGCCAAGCGTTGAGAGCGGCGCTTCTGGGATATCGAGCTATCAATAGTCTCAGACAAGGGGGCAGATAACGCAGTGGGAGTGATGTCCGTCATCACGAACGTGGTGCTAGTTCGATCCCGCTCCGAGCCAACCAAGCCCCTTATCCCTCTAGAGTGGCTAAGTCAGTACCAGACTTGTCTGAAAAACCACTCTCTGCGAATCCAATTAGGAACGTTCAAGCCCGGCTATCTCAAGACTCCAGGGAGAACTGCTCGACTAGCATTCTACGACATTCAAGATGAAATGAAAGTCCTCAAGCAGCAATCGAAGCCACACATAAAAGTTGAGGGATCCTCGTGAACAATGGATGCGAGGAAGAGAATCGAATGTGAAAAGTGCTGGGATCCGCACGGTAGGATGAAGACGAGTCATATAGAAGAAAAAAAAATAATGCCAGACAGCCGCTCATCCTGCTCGTTTCATTCTAATTCGTGAGTCCCTAATGTGACGTTCTTCAGGTATTCTTCTGAGTCCATTCCTAGCGTTAAGGCCTCCAATGATGACTTTAAAGAATGTTCAAATATGGTATTCATACAAATCTCTTCAACAGTAAACGTACAATTCGGTTTGTTAGTTGTTCGAATGAATGAGTGTTCATGCCAAACTCGTGTTGCCAAGAACGCCAATGCTGCAGTGTTCCCTACTGCAGTATGTTCCAGGAAATAGTCGTTCTCCGGTGTCATGGACAATGTTAAATTGGTGCCGTCTTCTCTTCTCAGGCAGTCCGATGACGATATGCCTTATCCTTCCTTCTTGTCTGAACGATCAAGTCCTCTATCGAGGACACAGATGCAAGTATCGCTTCATTGTAGGTACAGATTACCACCTTATTCCGAGATTTAAGCAGCCTAAGATAGCCTTGAGGGTCTGGCATTTGCTTCGTACTGGTCTTGTCCAACGGCTCCTTATCGAGGACTATTTTGAGGTTAGCGGAATGAAGACCAATTATTTTATTGTCTTTACTGTTTGATATTTCACGTATTGCTTTCTGAGCTTTCAACATGAGGGTTAGCATACTCAAGGGCAGCTTGCCAGCCTCTTCCAGACTAGACGAAGGAGGTTATTCATTGAAAGCGAGCTCCCATATAGTTGCTTTCCACTTGGTTGCAAGCTTTTGGCCGAACTGACTCTTAGAACACAATCGTTATAAAAATTCATCCAATCACACCTGCATGAAATTATTCTCGTAAATACAGAAGCTATATGGCAAATCTGTGCAGCAGGAACAACTAATCCATCCCTGGATCCACCTGCGTTTCAGGAAAGCAAAACACCAGAAAATGCCATTGTTGTCCGCGATCCACCACCTATCCGCCAACTGGGGATGCGCCACGTTCCTCACGACTAACACTCATGAGATCCCTCTATGAAAGAGACCGGAGTGCTTAAGTGGAGCTGTTTCTTATCTGATGAGAATTTCTGTATTGAGATTTATCTGCTAACTACTTTCACTATTACTATGGAAGTGTTTGGCCGAGTAGACTGTGCATCAATTTGACTTTTCCCGGGCTTTGAATAAGGCAAAACCGCCGAAATTGCAGCTAGTGTAAATCAGCAAATACTGTGATAACAACTTTGTGTTTACTCATCAAGAATAGAGGGAAATACATCGTATTTATAAAACGTTTGAAGTGATCTCCCGATTGACTACGGTAAGGAAACTATGGTTGAAAAAGAATGACGACAGACAACCACAATGTTGTTGAGATATTTGTGAAACTCTGGACCACAGATGTCTAAGGTGGGGAACGAACGCGCTATCGTCCTTTCCAGGGAGTAACACGTTTACCCCCATACCATGCAGGTCCTTCGTTTTGCCTGTCTCTCAGATAGTTCTGTCGATCAGTGAGTGATCGATCAGCAATCACCTGTCAACGGGATCGATCTATCAGCCTCTGCAGCTTCGACCATTACTGCTGCTCTTCTCTACTTAAGATCATCTTTTACCGCCCGTCTGCATTGTTTTGCAAGTTCGAACGTTAGCTCTTTTGGTGACTTTCCAACTCTAAGCTTCCATGGCGCTAACGTGAAGATGTTGAATGAGCCCACTGTATTCTTCGTCGATGTTATCGACAACGGTATCTTCCCAAGAGACAACGAATGAATTGAATAAGTCCCAGTTTGCGGTGGTTCTGGGACTTCGGTTTTGGAATTTAGCGGCTTTTCTCCTTTCCGCGAGAAATAGAATCTTGCACGAAGGAGACAGTGGTCTGATTCCCTGTAGAATTTTGGGACAACAGCGACATCGGTTAGGCGAGACCTTCTATTTACTACGATGTGGTCTATTTCGTTGTGGTGCTCTCCACTGGGGAAACCCACGTCCAGCATTGAGGGTGGGGCTTCTGGAACTGCGAGTTACCACGGATGGTCTTGTTCGTCATAATAAACTCAGACAGCCGCTCACCTTGTTCGTTCCATTCTAATCCATGAGTCTCAATGTGACGTTCTTCAGACGTTCTTCTTGGTCTAGTCTTGGCGTTGAAATCTCCAATGGTAACCTTGAAGGATGTGTGGTCTTCTTTGTAGAACTTCTCCAAGTCCATATATAACGCTTCGACTTCTTCTTCGCCACAGTTTGATGTCGGCGCGCAAACGACAAGGTTGTCAAAGGCGGAATTGATCCACGTCTTCTTAATCGTAAACGTCCGATTCGGGTTGTAAGCTGTTCGAATGAATCGATATTCACGGACAAACTCGTGTTGACGAGAACGCCGACGCCGCCGACTCCTCTACTGTCGCATGTTCCGAGGAACAATTCTTCTCCGGTGTCATAGGCGGAGTTGAATGGGTGGCATCGTCTCGTCTCGGCTAGGCGGATGACGTAGTACCTTATCCTTCTTGCTTGCATGAGCACGTCTTCAATCGAGGACTCGGATGCAAGTGTACGTGCATTGTAGGTACAGATCGTCACCATAGTTCTTTGTAATCCAGGCAGCTTCCATTGGCCCTCAGATTTTAGAAGCCTCCCCGTACTCGTCCTACCTAACACTGCCGAATTGAGGGTTCTTTTTTGGTCAGGGGAATGAGACCCGTTTTCTTTTTTACTGAGTTGAGCTTTTTGATCCCACGTATAGCTTGCTGGGCTTTGAACGTGGGGGTTAGGTATACCCACGAGTAGCTTGCCAGCCTCTCCCAGAGCGGACATGGAGCTTATTTGTTGGAGGCGACTCCTAATCGCCTCCCATATACTTCCCAGTCGCTTGATTGCAGGCTTTTGGCCGAATTGACTCGTAGAATACAATTCGCATAAGCAAGAACCCACCCACACACACACATACATGAATACGCCTAGCAAATACAGAAAGTATGTGCTAAATCGGCGCAGCAGAAACCGAGAGTCCATTCCCTGGATCCATCTGCGTCTCAGGGAAACAAAGGTCGCTTTTGGTCCGCGATTAACACCCTATCCGGCACCTGCGGCCGCGCCATTTAGCTTCGCGACTAACTGGCCGGAGATCCCTCATACGAGAGAGATCCGTGCGAGAGAAATAAATATCGACAAGAATTAACTGGAGTTTTTAAAACGTGATAGAGAACTAATAGTTTTTCATTAGAATTTTCTAGGCACTGCGGAGCCTGTTTTTTTAATTACATTGATCATTCACTACTACTCTTTATTAGTCATTATTAGGGGCGCGCGTGGCTCAGTAGTAGGAGGCGTCCTGTAACGCACATGAGATCGATCCCGGCACCCTAGGCTCACCAAGCCTTCCATTCTTCCGGAGTCATCAAATTGGTGCCAAACTTGTCTGGCAGTATAGCAGCACTAATTCGATGCATCGGTAGACCACCGAAAGCCATTTTAAATTCCAGATTTGAATCCAGTCACCACCAAACGATGCTTAATGAAGTCGAATGCCTGGTGCATCCCTCAGCGAATTGATCAACGCCAAGAGCTTTTACTTTTTTCAGCCACCGTTAGAGTACCTTTTGAAATTTGTTTCATGAAACATAATGTAGTTTATTTTTCTTTTCAGCTAGAAAGGTGTCTGTAGTTTTAATTAATTCTAGAATTAACTGTTTAGTATTGTTGAGAATTTGTCATGAACAGGCAATCGTACTGTTTCAATATCATCGTTTTCACTTTTAGAGTCTTGCTGACGACGCCTGGACAGCTATGGTCAACGGAAGCCAACATGCAGATCAATTTATCTTTCGAGAAAGGCGAGAAGTTTGTTCAAGTTTCACTTTCGAAGAAAGTCCAGATTGTCCAGTTGGGTCTCCTGGCCCAGCAGGTGATACAGGTGTACCCGGTCTGAACGGTCTGGATGGACTACCGGGAGCACGAGGTCAGAATGGAAAACTTATCAACCAATATATTGCGGAAGGATGTTTTGTATGTCCTAGAGGGCTACGAGGGCCTCATGGAGTCGATGGACCGGTTGGTGACTTGGGAAGAAATGGATGGAAAGGACGACCGGGTGCTCCAGGAAAAAATGGAGACATGGGTCCACGTGGTTCACGGGGAGAACCAGGAGCAAAAGGAACCATAGGTGAACCTGGATGGCAGGGCGTGGCTGGACGTAGTGGATTCCACGGAAAAGGTGCACCTGGTCCACGAGGCCAAGTAGGACAAGGAGGACCAAGCGGTTTCTCAGGAGTTAGCGGCCATTATGGACGTCCTGGACGACCAGGAGCACCAGGAGCCGTGGGAGCTGCTGGAATGGGCGGTTTTAAAGGCCAGGATGGTACACCAGGTCTTCGGGGTCTTCCAGGATCTCCAGGAAATGATGCCATTTATTGTCCATGCCCAATCCGATCCCATGTTCTGACAAACGTGTTTCTGTCTTAGCTTGTTTTTTTATCCTTAGTAACGCAATAAACGTTAATGACAAATCCATCGTACTAGCAAAGTTTTCAGCGTTACCTCGTGCCAAGAATAGCGTCATTTATAGTTACCTCTATGGCGATTTCTCAGTTCAAGATGGATGACTGAAAATTCAAAATCCAGTGAGCTTTTAAAGTGGTCCGGGATTCATCTAAGCTTAGCAATGTGAATTAAGTCTGTTACGTTAAGATAGAAGAGAGTGTAACAATATCATTGTAAACCGACCTTCATTTAACCGTGGTATAAATGATCAATGTACCTTGTTTCATGTATAAGCTAATACGAGGTTATTACCAATATTTATTCGGCTAACGTTTCGACGTTTTCACCTTTCTCATGGAGCATAGTGACAGGTTCGGTTCTCATACGTGATATGTAGAGCAACTGCAGCTGCTAGTACAGCCGATTAACTTTGGTTACGTACACTTCCACCCAACGTGTAGATGGCTGTTCTAGAGGACACGCGCATCTTCGTGTAGTCCACTCTGCAGTTCTTTTCGTCCATCTATCGTGCGTTTTTCTCATTAAATGATTGGCCCATGTTATGCTTCCCTATCGATATTTGTTCTTTAGGTCTTGAGGAGGAGATAGACTTCGAAGACCGGAACTCTTTTGCTGCGTAAGCGAACGTTAGGAAGTTGAGTTGAAAAGGTGACCGTGGTGTTTTGGGACTGTTAAGGTGCCTTATTCGAGAGTCGATTGATATTCCTGCTCTCCTTCCGTCTAATTCACTCCTCACGCTCAAGTTACATGTACGAGGTGGCCTCTATAACAAAAAACACTCCAGTTCTATTTGTTCCCCTTTAACAGCAAGTTGTTTATGAACTGGGACTTCTTCCAATTTATGCGAAGTTCAATCTTTTTAACCGCTTCGTTGACCTCATTGATTATCATCTCTGCTTCGATGATACTTCATGTGAAGATGAAAGTGTCGTCGGCGAAGTCAAGGTTTGATAAGAATTTTCCATCAATACGTACGTGTTTCTCTTCCGAATCCATTGACTTCATTATTCACAGCAATGTGGCAGTGAATAGCTTTCGTGATTTGGTGTCACATTATCGAACTACTTTTCCTAAGGCCATGGTAGGAGGCGGATGGAAAAGCGGTATTTTCCTAGTGCAGTTCCGATAACAGTCAGATAGAGCTCTCATGTATGACGGGTCCACTCCTTGGTCAACGAGCACTGATAGGATTGCATTCGTTTCGACATTGTCAAACGCTTTTTCATATTCGACAAAAATTAGGGCTAGGGGATGGTGGTAATCCCGACAAACGTAACTGATTATGCCTCATCCAATGTGCTTGATATTCGCGGCAGGATAATCTTCTTGAAGAGCTTGCAGAGTATAGTCAATAAGCACATCGTACGATAGTTAGGGACATCCCTTCGGTCACATTTCTTGGACAGGATGATCGTGAGCGATGTTCTCTATAGCGGGATTTCTTCCTTTTGAAAGGAGGATAGCATATGGTTTGCGAGAGGTACATGTGGCCGACGGGGATATCATCGGATTCTTGAGTTGTGTCTTTTTTCATACGTTCTATTGCATCTCGAATCTCAGAGGGGAGAAATCCAGGTGGTTTTTCCGCGGCGGGGATTTTAGGGTTAGGGATGGGGATAGCTGAACACTAAAGGTTGATGTGGAACTTTCCTCTTATCGATTCCATATCATGGCGAAAAATTTTATTGGTCGCATCATCGTTCGTAAGGACTGGCAGAGCTATATGGCACTCGCATGAGTCCCGAAAAAAAATTTAAAGCGGTTCTTTTTTGTGCTGCTTTTAGCAGTTTCCTCTGACTATAGTAATGTAGGGTGCGCGTGATGTAGAGATCGGAGGCGCCCTGCGACCCACACATGTGAACGTTCTCCGCGCCAGTGGCTTACCAAGCCTTCCATGCCTTCGGGGTCGGGAAATTGGTACCAGACTTGTCTGGTAGGATGGTAGAATAGCAGCACCGGCTCGACACATTGGTAGGCCACCGCGAGCTATTGTGAATGCCAGATATGCATTCAATCGCCTCCAAACCATGCTTAATGAAGTAGAATGCATGGCGCATCCCTCAGGGATTGATCAATGCCGAGAGACTTATTTTTTTATTTGTCCTTCATAGTAATGCAAATTTTGCTTTGAAGCTCTTCTACAACTGGCATTTATTACTAGCCATGTTAAGCGTGTTAGGATCAAGCTTCAGTTTTCTTCTCTTCCCGAGCAACTCCTCAGTAGTAATGGAAATGCGACCTGAACTTCTTTCTTGAGAGACCGAGCGAAATTCGACACAACTTTTAAGTCCTTTGGCAAGTAGCTCGTAGTCTTCAGTTGAATTTTCCTCAGTATGGTAAGGCAAATCCCAAATTGATAACCTTTTAAACGTTGGCGGTCCATGAATTCAACGTTATCTTTCTGTAATCGTAGTCCACTAAATCACAGATACTATCTTCCTGTGCCAGCATGAACAAGACAGATCCTCCTATGGGCGTCCTTTATATCGCAACTGTTTCAAAACCCAAAAGAGCACCTTCGCGGAAGCTCTTTTTGAAAACATGGATCGTTGTGGGATGAATGACTATTACTCAATTAAACAGGCTTTTCTTATTTAACCTCGGTGTGTATATCCAACATGTTTCTTTGTATTGTTCAGCAAACAAGAGCTCGTGATGTAACTTCTATATAAGCGCTTAAATGAGAGGTTGCTGCACTCAAAAAGATTCGATTTAATGCTAATACGAACACCCACAACTCTGGGAGGAACGACGGTAGACCATCGGGATCATCGCCTCTGAAAAAGAAGAAGACGGCGAAACGTCAACCGAATAAAATTTATATAACAACATTGTATAAGCTGATACAAAGTGGTCATTAGACGATCTTGTGCGGAAATTACCAACGAATATCACAAAATGGATCTATAGATATACAAATTATGCATGGAAATGACATGGGTTATAAAGTAGTAGAAAACCATAAAAAATTTTTCTAACTCCCCCAGTGAAATTATTCTGCCATAACATATGCTAGCGGGTAGAGCAGTGGTAGTAATGATGTCCCTTACGAGCAAGACGCTGGTCCGACTGCGGACCGGGTTCACCAAGTCTCCCGTCTACCCGGACTCAGGATATTGGTTCTAGACGTGGCTGCGAACAACTTACTCCAGTCCGGCAGTACAAAAAAGTGTCGGATTGAAAGCATTTGCTCCACTACTAGTGCAATTAAAAACTGGCACGGAGCGAGCATTTAGTTCGGGCTCTGAGCACAGATGATCGTTTCCTTCACTGAATGTTGGATGAGGTAAACTTCTCGTCTGAGAAAATGGTTCCGGATCGCTTATGGGTATCTTCGTCAAGGTTAGTTCTCCTTCTTATTAGATCATAGCCACCAACACGTCATCTCCATAAACTACCATCGACAGCAATGCATAAAAATTTGCTTTACTCGTTTTTTTTTTCATTTGAAGAACTACGGTGAGAACGCTCGCTCATCATCTGCTTGATGGTTTCGTTTCTACAAATGCCATTTACTCATTACCTTATGTAAAGGTGCACATTTAAGCATAACATGTTCTCTTGCAGTCGTAGAGCGTTCGGCTTTGCTTGGTCCTGTGAGATGCACCATGCGTTAGACTTCATCAATCATCGGAAGATATGAATGAGTGCATACCGCATGTGGTGGTCTACCGATGTATTTGAGCAGTCTCATTAACCTCCTAGACGCCTGCAATCGATTTGCCGACGCGGAGGAATGGAACGCTTGGGGAGCCCGTGGTGCGGAATTGAACCAAAGATAACATGTGTTTTGCAGGGCACCTTTAACCACAGGCCTACACGCGCTTCATATTCTCGTTAACACCCCTGCAACGGCGTGTGAAACGCCTTAGTAAGGGCTGCTCCGCCACATCTACTAAATTGGTTAATAGTTCTTTGCTACTCCTCGGCCCTGCTATAGCACCTCGTGTTTGCTGAACAGAAGTAGAAAGAGTTATTCAATCAATGCCGAGGTTAATAGAAAGTCGGACTTGGGAGACACTATATTGTCCACACAAGTTATAGACCCAATTCGCTATTGATACTATAGTGTCCATACAGAGCATTGTGGTCTAACTGAACCCCACAAGGTTCTTCATTTGCGCATCATCCCGAGATTCATCAGCTACGTTTTTATTCACTGCCTTTAACATTTTTTTTCACGGCAGGATATTATTTCTGATACAACCGCAATGTTGATGAGATATTTGCAAAACTCCGGCCCGCTGTCTGCGGTGGGGAGCGAACACACTATTACCTTTTGCGAGGGCTAACGCGTTCACAAACGCCATACGAGTCCTTTTTTTTCGACTATCTCACCACTAGTTTTCTATCCACCAGTGCCATCAACAATCACTCGTCAACGGGATTGATCTGGGAGGCCCAAATTGGCATTGAACCCAGTTAAGCTGAGGCTATATTCTAAATCACAATGTTAACTTTTTATTTATTGCCTATGTGATCGTGATTTAAACTATAGTCTCAGCTTCATTGAGTTCGTTGCCAATTTGAGTTTCCCAGATCAATCCCTTCGAAGAGTGATTGCTGATTGCACTGATCAATAGAAATTGCTGAGACAGCCGAAACGAAGGATCCGCATGGTGTGGAGTTGAACGTGTTAATCCCCAGGGAAGGGTAATAGCGCTTTCGTTCTCCACCGTAGACACCTGCAGTCTGAAGTTTTGCAAATATCTCAGCATCATTGCAGTAGTTTCACAAGCAGTACGCTGCCGTGAAAATTATAATAGGCAGTAGTAAGAAGTTAATATTGTGATTTCGACTATAGCCTCCGCTTAACTGGCTTCGTTGCCGATTTGTGCTCACCAGATCAATTCCTTTAACGAGTGATTGCTGATGGCACTGATCAATAGAACTAGCTAAGAGACAGGCGAAACGAAGAACCTGCATGGTGTGATGGCGAATGCGCTACTCCCCGGAAAGGGTAAGGGCGCTTTCGTTCCCTATCACAGACACCTACGGTGCAGAGTTTTGCAAGTATCTCAGCATCATTGTAGATCCCGTATGACAGTTTAGTGGTAGACCGATAGCGGCGAACGGTAGATAAATTTTTATTTATCCCATAAATAAAAAGTATTTCAAAGCCATGAGTATTTAGACTCTAACATGTACTCAACTATGCCCAATTCTATTCGGCGGTTGTGGTTTATCGTAAATTGCTAAGCGTACAGAATAGCTCTTCATCTACTACGTACTACGTGTGTTGGACGAGGTATATCAAATGAATACAAAAACTGTAGCAAAGAAACTCTTCGCATTAAAATAAGCCCGGAAAAAGCACGATTTAGCACCACTCCATATAGCCCATTCTATAAAAACATGCACGTAGCGACATCAATCCCTATGGCCACCTATGGCTTAAGATAACTGACAAGTAAAGAAAATTTAATCAATCGCGATCATTTCCGTTTTCGCACGAGACAAGTTCTTCGGAAAACCTGCTTTCTTACGGTCCTCTGTACTTTTACCATAAGAACATAAGCGTTATTCTTGATATGTCTCAGATATTTTACCTCTTGTAGAACAACACATTTCTGCAATGTTAGGGCAAAAACCATGAATTAATTGCACTTGTGAAACGTAAAGTAAAATCACTGCAAAATTGTGCTCTCTTGCTGACTATTTTCGCTTGGTACATCACGAATAACCTAATGGGAATACCAACGTCCACCCGAGAAAAGAAAATGTCAGACAAGATCACAAATATTTAGTTAATCAACGGTTATCATCAAATTCTAATTTGTCTTCATGCCTTCGGTCTCTTTCGCTTGTTCCACTATGTTTTCTTTCCCATCTTTCAATTCCGGATACTCTTTGACTATACGCGGACCGTAAAGTAGAACATATGCACAGTGCCAGTCCCCACCGCCAGACAGCTTCAAAATCTGAAAGATGAGAACTATCAAATTCACATTTACGAGGTGCATAAATCTTCTTGTTTCTGCAAATATTAAATGAAATAAATTTTTACTCCCAATACCCCAACCTAAAAGCAATCTAATAGTTGTAGATGCGATTGAGGTGCATCTGATTTGCACCCTAGTAAGGAGGCCAATAGATAGAGCAGTTTTGTTCACCATGGGTTCTCTTACATATAAGAAAATTGCAGCAAGTCGCATAGGGATGAGTTGATCGATTCAGAAGGAAGTCACAAAGTAAATGTGCTTTGTTTTAGAAGAAAGGTGTATGAACAAAAGAAAAAACAGGAGGAGTCTCGAAGTCCTTAAAACTTTTATGTCATTACACTTTCATTGTACGTCTATTCTAGTTTATATTCTGTAGATGTACGCCTCTTTTTATTCATTGTGATTACGTCCTTATCAATATGAAGACTGGACTTCACCGTGTATAAGAATCGGTTCCATCGTTAAGTACAGTAACGATTAACAGACACAGACATTAAAACCCACCAATTAAAAACTGTAAAACTAAAATTGATCCGTGGTTGTTCCCGTCGCGCAACGTCATCATAATATCTGGCTGTGGGAAAGGAGTTAAAGCGAAGACCGGAGGCAAGTCTAAGTCCTGGTAGGCCGGTGCCAGTTTGCAGTTCCCCGTTGGACGCATTCATCGTATGCTTCGCAAAGACAACTATGCTGGTCGTGTTGGAGGTGGAGCTCCACTTTAGCTGCAGTCGTACTCGAGTACTTCTCTGCTGGGGCACTGAAATTGGCTGGCAATGCCGCCCGTGACAACAAGACTCGCATCAACCCTCGCCATCTCCAACTCGTGCGCAACGATGTGGAGCTCAACAAGCTACTCTCAGGAATTTTAGTCACAACGGTTTACCACCTCATCGGGGCTGGGAGGCATTAAGCTTGATTCTAAAAAAATGAAACTGTAAGGCAACAATATCATTCTAGTTACCAACAAACCCCTAAAACACCTGCATATTGAGAAACGAATAAAAGAAAGCCATGTTGGGCTAAAGAAAAAGATAAACCTCCGATGATGACCACTCCCTGAGGTATGCGCCATGCATTCGACTTCAACAAGCATCGTTACACGAAGTCGAATGCATAATTTTCCATAAAAAAGGATAAAACTCTCAGCGTTGATCAATCTCTAAAGGATGCGCCATGCATTCGACTTCATTAAGCATTGTTTGGAAGTGATTGAATCTATATCTGGCCTTTACAATGACTCGCAGTGGCCTACCGATCTATCGAGCCAGTTTATTCCAGTTTGCTATCCTCCCGGACAAATCTGGTACGAATTTGCCGACCTCGGAGGGATGGAAAGCTTGGTGGGCTATGGACCCGGATATCGATTCCACATGCGTGTTGCAGAGCGCCTCTGACCTCTGCGCCACACGGGCCCCTATAATTGTCCATAATGTAATACGATGACTTGTGATGGCAAATCAATGTATGAAGTCACTGCTGTTACTCTCCCGGACAAGCTTGGTACTAATTTGCCGATCCACCAGGAAAAATAAACTTGGTCAGCCCAGTGAGCTGGATCATACCAACTATCATGCGTGTATCCCAGAACACTTCTAACCACTGCGCCACACTAGCTTCGCGCTCTCGTTACTACTACGGCACGTGTAGCGCAACAGTTAACGTTACCTTGCAATATTGTTGAATCGGTTTCTGGATGCGGCACAGTTACTCTGTAGCGCGGGATCAAGCAAAACTTAAATGTGCACATTGCAGGGCATTTCGAACCGCTGGGCTACAGGTTCCACTTGCATATTATATGACAATGACTATACGCACAGAAATACAAACATAACGGTGTCAAGTTAAGTGGAGTACGTTCGCTAAGGATTTGAATGTAAATGCGCTATATGAAGGCTTGTGAGAGGGAGTCAATAAGAAATTCGGTGGTTTGTTTTTCAAAACAAAAAAGGAAAAAACAAACTCGAAACTCAATTCGATACAAGCAGAGGACTTGGGCTGTGAGACCTCACTCATTTACATTACACTAAATCATTTCACCACGTTACATAAACTCTACTATAGCATAGCCGAAATACGAGAAACACTCGCATTTGCTATTCAGCACAAAAGATTTTTTGTTTGATAGCAAAATTTTTGAACTCACCCCAAGTAAGAAAACTACTCTCGTTCTTGTGCTGCATATCATAATTAAACTACTCCAGCAATGTCTCTGATTCAAATAAAAGACTAAGAAACAAGTAAAAATATGTAAATAGAACGTTAAAAAATATGTGCACCAATTACCAGGTGCAAGATGTCCATTGAGAAACACTATTTGACAATAATACCTAAGAACAACGCTGCCAAGAGTGCTATTTGTAACTACCATATCCATAATGAGGTCCTAGTCCAACACTTGAAATATTGCACCTTCCTACACTTTCTTGCGAAACGGACTCCGACTAGTCAATATCACCAATGTCATCCAAAGCAACATTAGAATTTCAAAAAAGTAACACCTGATCTGAAGTAACTGACGTAACATGGTCGTCGTCACACATTGCCCACTTGTCCTCATCCATTCGCACCCAAGCCACATAATGGCCAGAATTTGAGGAGCGACCTTTGTGAGTTATTACAGCCTACAAACATACTGAAACCATCAACACTGTCACAAACTGAAAACTTAAGAATGGAAAATTTGGCCCTATATACATTACAACTAGTGGTGACAGGAAAAAGAGAATCAAGATCAAACCTTCAGCTCGTAAAAACCAGAATTGTTGCTACCTTCATCATCAGGAAATGAGAACGGTAATGGAATCCCATCGTCTTTCACAATCTAGTGGAAAAAAAAGGTAAGAAAATTATGGTGAACTAACTATTTAACCATTCATAGAAAGGGACAAAGCAGCTTTATCTTCTTAATGTTTACAAACAACCAAATAATTTAGAAGTTCCTTGAATCCCTAGAATATCACCAGCAGTTACTACAAAATAAAAGCTGGAGAATCTGATCAACCTACTTTCGGATCTGCGCCGTCCACTTTTTGCTTCCGCATACGTTCAATTTTTGCGTCCTCTTCTTTCTAAACATTTACAATGAAAATCCACATGGCTATAGTCGTTTTCAAAACTAAATGTTTAACAACTTTTACGTGAAAATTACTTTAACAGCATCCCGCTGTGGAATCAACTTCTCTTGGAGGTCCGGTGTGCATATGTCATGAAGATCGAGGATCATCGGGAATTTGACGTCTTTCAAAATTTTTGCGTTCACCTAGATAAAAACTTTGTTCTGTAGTAGTTTGAAAAAAGAAGCTTCTACTAATCTTTTTTCAGATTTTCAAAAAATCTAGACGCTTCCTTAGTTAAATTTCTTCGCTAATCCAATTTTTTCATGATTTTCCAACCAGAAAAAAATATGTAGATGAATTGTCTTGTCAATTGACAATTCATTGTCATGTTCAATTGTCATTGTCTAAATTGACAATGACAATTGTCATTGTCTAAATTCCTACTTCCTGCCTATTACTTTTCATGACAGGCCACTATGTGAAATACAACCATAATGAATCTATGACTTGAGCAGAACTCGGAACCTAAGGTGAACTTCGAAAACGCGACATTTCCAGGGCTCAGATATTACCCACTACAGCACCGAGGCCCACGCTTTGCCATTCTTTCAGCCGGTTTTTTAGACCATAACGGTGTTTTCAGCAATCAACCGTAAACGGGAATTCCCTGGGAAGAAAAAATAATAGGCAATAAATAGAAAGTCAACCACTGTGAATTCGACTGCAGCATTAGTTTAGGTGAGCTCGTTGCCAGTTTGTGCTCCCCTGACCATTCTCGCTGATGGGTGATTGCTGAAAGCACCGTTAGAGAAAAGAAAAGGAAAACTGGCTGAGAGAAAGGCAAAGCAGGGACTTCATGATGCACTGGGTAACACGTGTGATTCCGGAAAGGGTCCTTGGGGGTTCAAAGCTAGCCAGAGGTTCCGAGTTTTGCAAATATCTCAGCACCATTGTGGTTGAATGAAGCCTTGTTTCATTCACCTGGTTCGTTTCTTTGTAGAAAAAACGGACCATTTGTACAGATACATATGCTGGAAGCCGATCAATGAGAACCTGAAGCAAAGTCATAAAACCTTCATCTAAATATTCAGATCAAATGAGCTAACTTAGTTGAAAACTCTGTGAATACTGGGCATTAGTGTTATTCATACTACTTACTTAACTATACGGACTTTCCAAATCATGATAACACAAAGTAGGAACGTATATTCCAGCCAGTTCTAGGTTATTTCAGTTCCCTCATCACTCACATTTCGTTCCCATTTGGCATTTCGACCAAGAATCGCGCTTGTTTTTTCTATCTCTCCAGAGAGTTTCTCTTTGATTCCACTTTGGATATACCTCACTTCTGGTGACAGGAAACAAGAAAGCTAGAAAAGAAAATGAAAACACGATATTGTACGTTGAACTGAACCATTTGCTTTACATCTTTACAAATAACGTAAAATGCAAACAATTAGAGCACTTTCTTAAACCAGCACATGAAAGTAATGGAACCTGATAAAACTCTTCGGTTGTGCTCTGAACCGGCTCATCTTCGCACTCAAGACATTTCTGCCTCACTTGATATCGCCCGCGGAAAAACTCGCGTATATCCATTCCGATATGCTCTAAGAAAAGCAACGATGAATGACGTGGTAGTTAGCAATGACTGTGTTCGTTGGAAAAAAAAATTGGTTCCGACTGGTTAACTACAGGAACAAAATGGAACTACCCTTGTTCGCCGAGAGTGCATTCAGCAACATTCTTTGAATCTCGGAAAAGCATTCATTGGCGTCCTGTTGTTCCAGATGGCCATGCTCATCCCTAGAGCTGAACTGAGGCAATATGCTATGCAGTGCCTAGAAAACAAATTAATAGATCGGGATGATAGAGGGTAGAAAAAAGAAGAGTTGAAATGTTGCACAGATGGCAGAGAAAAATGTGACGCTTACTGTGAAAAGTGGGAAAATTGTCGGTAGAGTACAATAATGTACAATTATTAAACCGACACCACACTTATGCTGTGGAGTTTGACTATTCAGTATAATTTAATGATTAAAACCTTCAGTTGTTCTAAACATTAAAAATTCATACAAACGAAGTTACTACTACAAAACTAAGTCAATAATTGGAACTGCACAGCTCTTCGCGAATGTAACAGTATAAAGCGTTTAGCGATCGACTTGAAGAATAAATAAAGGATAAAGCTCTCGGCGTTGATCAATCCCTGAGGAATATGCCGTGCATTCGACTTCATTAAGCATCGTTTGGAGGTGGCTGAATGCATATCTGGTCTTTACAATGATTCCCGCTCACCTACTGATGTATCGACCCAGTGCTGCTATCCTTCCAGACAAGTCTGGTACCAATTTGGCGACCCCAGAGAGCTTGGTAGGACTGAGGCGCGGGAATTGATCTCATCTGTAATGCAGGGCGCCTCCGACCACAGTGCCACACGTGCCCTTCACTTGAACAATAGGAAAACGATCTTAACCTTTTTATTTACTGCCTATTCTTTTTAATGGCAGGGTAGGTTGCGAAATATAACTTTCGTAATGCTGAGATATTTGCAAAACTCCAGACCGCAGGTGTCTGCTGTGGGGAACGAACGCGCTATTGTCCTTCACGGAGAGTAACGCGTTCACCACCACACCATGCCGGCCCTTTGTTTCGCCTGTCTCCCAGCTAGTCCTATCGATCACAGCCATTAGCAATCACTTGTCTTGATCAGCATTATGAAAGTTATATTTCTCAACCTACCCTGCCATTAAAAATAGGCAGTAAATAAAAAGGTTAGGATTTTGATTATAACTATAGCCTCAGCTTAACTGGGTTCAATGCCGATTTGGACTGCCCAGATTAAAAAGGTCGATAGAACTGGCTGAGAGACAGGCGAAACGAAAGACCCACATGGTGTGGTGATGAACGCGTTACTCCCCGGAAAGGACAGTAATGCGTTCGTTCCCCACTGTAGACACCTGCGGTCCGGAGTTTTGCAAATATCTCAGAATAGGAAAACAATTCCCCTAGTAAGCTAGGGCGAAGAAGGAATAAGCTCTCGGCATTGATCAATCCCTGAAAGATGCGCCATGTCAAGCATTGTTTCGTGGTGTTCTGATATATCAAGTGAGTGCCACTATCCTCCTAGATAAGCTTGGTAGAAATGTGCAGACCTAGGACAGAAGGAAAGCTTGGTGAGCCCCGGGAGCGGGTAGCAACCACCACGTGTGTATTCCAGAACACCTCTATTCACTGCTCAACATGCGTTCCTGTATAACAAGTTAGTGTGTTGAGAAAAGCTGGTAAGACTAGGTCTACAGCGGAAACGATGCTACTTTCATCCAATACATAGGCACAGGAGTACCAAAAGCAAGAACAGGAAGAACCCTTGGATGCTACTCTGTGGACTGACAGACGGATGTCTACGATACCAATGATCATCGACCGTTAATCGTGAACTACGTAGCACTTTTTAGACTTCAAATTGAGTGTTAAACGGAATCTTCAGGGAAATCGCCTTGTGACGCAAATGGCTCTGGCGCGATGTCTCTATATCTAAGCCGTCTCGGATGTAGAGTTATTTTCCATATGCATATAATGACATACATGAGTAGGTGCTTCTGCGCCTATAAGGGATGAATCCCGCAATTTGATTCGGCAAAATGCTTGCGATCAAGTGATTGGGAAGTATGTTGGTATGTGTGGAGAGGTGGGGGGCTTGCAGACCTATTTCATAACTAAGGTTTATGTCTATCCTAGAATAGCGATGTAAGTTAATCATGAGCACAGCCAACCGCCAATGCAGAGCACGACGAGCTACATGTCACCACCTTTTCGCCAAAAACAGAGTGAGGGAACTGCGCAATTTTGGTGAGCGAGAAGGAGAAACACATCTTCTACACTCCAGCCCAAAAACAAAACCTGCTAAAAGACATCTTCGTGAACATTCTAAACATGAAACGGTAGAAAAGGCATACTTGGAGCATAAAAAACGGAACGAGGGGCTCGTCAATTCGACGTGGGTTGTCGAGCATTTCGTACACACTCTTCACTGCCATCACCATTCTCTGATTTGCGTCAGGATTTTGAATCCCTTGATTAAAACGCCCAAGACCATCCTTGAGCTCCGGTATGGTCTAAACTATGAAAGAAATAGGGAAGACATAATGACGAGTTCGTGGAAAAGGAGTCTGTGAAGTAGCTATGTTATCAGTTATCACAAGCAACTAAGAGTGGAAACCAATTTTAAGCATACCGTCAAAGAACACTTACCTTGAAACTTTGTAAAACAGAATTCATGTAACAAGTATTCCCTAGATTCTTTAGACCATTGGGCAGTCGTATGGTATTACTGTCACTCCGCACTGAATCATTCCGTTCTTCTTCTTGTTCTGTTTTCGGTGGCGGAGGAACAGCATCAGCACTACAAAATACGATTTCCAAGCACTTCAGGGTCAACTTTTCACTTTCGTGCATAAGAACTCACCTTCCCATCATCATTATCATTGCTCCTTCAACTACGGTTATTCCATTCCACGTGTCGTCGTTCAACGTTCTTCCCTGAAAAATAGGCAGCTAAACAAAACAATCCGTCCTTTGAGAAGTAGGTCCTTTAGTTTAAGACCTTCACTAATTGCCCTAACAAGGAGTGCATACTTCATAGAAAAAATATTGTTGGATGATATCGTAATAATTCCAGCCCACTGTTATCACGAAGGAAAACCCATATCCTAATCTGCTCATAAAAACAGGTACTGAGGCTACTGTAGTCTTTAACACAGAATGAAATGTAGCCTTCTCTTTTAAGGGACTTACCACTAAATTACGTATGCTTTTAAGGGCATAGAGATTAAATAAGGAAATGAATGAATAAACCACCAACTTTAATCACAACTTTTTGCCGATCCGGAGGCACACCGGTAAGAGCGAACAGCTGTGATTTGAAGACGAGAGGCGATTCGTCAAAATCAAGTAGAACACTGTACTTCTCCTTACCCCATTTAACATTCACGTTCGGCATTCTACGTGGTCAAACAAAGAAGTACTGAAATCGGACATGTTGGGCGGGTCCAAGCGAATCAACAAACTCAAAACGAAGTTTGGAAAAGAAAAAACAACTTGAAGAGTCCGAAAAGTACACATTTCCTAGTACTTAGAAGAATGCTAACATCTCCTCTAATTCAAATATTCTTGCCGATGCTAATACAGAAACGGTCGCAGTTACACTACCTGGTCTTGAATTCACGCGCAAGCAATTTGTGGAATAGTAACTACTTGGGTGGTAAAAGAATAAAGGATAAAGCGCTCGGCGTTGATCAATCTCTGAGGGATGCACCATTCATTCGACTTCATTAAGCATCGTTTGGAGGTGACTGAAAGCATATCTGGCCTTTACAATGATTCGCGGTGGCCTACCGTTGTATCGAGCCAGTGCTAGTATCCTCTCAGACAAGTTTGATACAGACAAGTTTTGCCGACTACGGCGGGATGGAAGGCTTGGTGGGCCATGGGCGCAGGGATCAATCCTACGTGTGTGTTGCAGGGTGCCTCCGACCACTACGCCTAACGCGCCAATTGGGTGATATTTCTTCAATAATCGTCTCTACCTGAAATGGGTTTCTATTCATTGTGTTTGACTCTTTATTCACTGCCTATTAGTATTTTTCGCGGCAGTATACGTTGTGAAATACAGCCTCTATAGGGCTAAAATATTCGCAGAACTTGGATCTCAGGGCAGATTCGAACCGGCGACTGAACTTCCCGGAGGTTCGGGTGTCACTCGCTGCGTCACTGAGTCCCTTGATTTGTATTTCTCTCAGCGAGTATTTTTTCTACGTTAACGGTGCCATCTCTGTATTGTTCTAATTTTAGTATATGTTCAGTGTTGAACATTGGCCTCCCAACGGGTTACCGCCTCATCGTGGCTGGGAGTTCCTGGGTGTCTGCTGCGATCTACAGCGGTGGGATTCATCCCACCGGCAGGGTCTCCCATGCTGCGAATGAGTCCGGTGTTTCGATCAGGAAGCCTAGCTAAGAGCCAACCAATACCAGGATCCACCACCGCCTGGTATCAAAGTCGCATGGTGGCAAATCTTTCTCTGATCCACAAGCGCCCGAAAAATGTTGATTATGCTGGGGTCCAGTGAGGAAGAGCCGTTCAAGTATCAAGTAGGTAAGTAACGGTTCCATCAGCAATTACCCGTCAACGGGCATGATCTGGGGAGCACAAATCGGCATTAAAACCACTTAAGTTGAGACTGTGATCGAAGTCACATTGTCATCACTCTTTATTTGCTGCCTATTCTTTTTTTTATGGCAAGGTATGATGTGAAATACAACTATTGTGAGGCTGGAATCTTAATCTGACCTAGAGTTTATGTTTCGCAAATGTCTCAGCCTAATGGTGGTTCTATTCATTGTGTTCCTTTATGACCCTTTTCGGTGAAGGTGGTCTGCTTTGTCTTTGTAGGCGTCTCCAAGCCTCGTTTCATGATTTAGAATTATCTCGCTGCGAGTGCAAAAGGTCCACTTACCTTATCAGTGGCCTCTATGGTGTAATTGGTGTTCGCCCTTGCTTCACATTCATCGTTTGTCAACTTTTCTAATAATATGAATAGACCATGAGATTCGACTAGTCCCTTAATAAATTGCTTTCTCCTCTGCGGATGTTGCTCTAGTGCTCTATCAGTGCGAATATTAAACGTCAGGTCAGGTGTTTGTTTAGTTATATGCTAAGCATAGTACGGTAAGATTTTAAGCAGAGACAGTTCGCACGGAAGTCTGAGTTCGAGTTAATAAGTTAGTTGCTCATTTGGGGTGCTCCAAAGTGGTCGGTCTGTACCGCTGTTCTTTCATATTGTTCACTACGTTCATTAAAACTCCCTAGACTCACGTTAGAAGTGTCCCCCGTAATCGAAGAACTATCTATCCACTCTCTTCACCGCTCCAGGAGAATTCTATCAGCTTCCAAGCCTTCTTTTTTCAGCACAGCGGTGAACTTATAGCAATTTTCCATAGGCGTATATGCCTTCCCGGTACCATTTGTATGATGACACTGCTTACTGGAAATAGGCAGTGAATAGCTTTGCTGAGATGGTATAACTTTGTAGTACTCTTTTTTCTTGCGATAAGTAGGCAATGAGTGGGTTCCATGATCGTGCTGTAGTTGTGTTGACAGTCAGCTAACTTTTTGTAGTACAGTTTCGCTTTCCATCATCGTCGTTTCATTTTGGCATTGACTAACGTTGTTTATTTTATAAAGACCATGTCAGGTGTGATATCCCTGTATCACCTGTCCTATCGTTGACTGTGACTAATTTGAGCGGATGCCATTGAAGTTCATTTATAGTTATCGCATGGGAAATCTACCCAGTGGGTGTTCTTCGCTCTAGGAATCCGCTGAGCACCATATTTTTCTAATAGGATTCTCGTTAAGGACTCTGACCATGCAGTTGGTGGTCTTCGTGTTCTGCGCCTAACATTCCATGAAATCCAGTTGATAGTAGCTTCTGTTCATCAATTATCCTTTGGCTCTAGTTCTCATCCAAGGTTACAATGGAGAAGCTGTAGATGTGGGTGACAACGTGGGATTTCCCGTGCTTTTCATCCTACAGGCTAAAAATGGTGAATGGATGACGATGTTGATGATGAAGTCGGCGATGAATGATCCAATGAGGCGTTTCTTCACAAACGTTGCACCTTTGATAACTGTCTGTTTAGTTTAGATCGAAAATTTTTGCTTGGCTGCAAAGAACAGATAAGTTTCTATTGAAGGTTTATGCTTGAGAGTCGGTGTATCATTTTTAACTGAACGAACAAATGCGGACTACAAGACAAAGAGTTAACGAGATTAAAAGATCTATCAATCCTTACGACCTCGCATTTAACTATCTACGAAGGTCTTCAAACTTAATAAGTAAGATCCCCTTTAAGCTAGCTAATTTCAAAAATCCAAAGAGGAACCGGAAAGACGAATGCTTCACTATCACGCGTGACTTAGCGCTCTATTTCAAAATGATAATTTGACCCCAGGGTGTGTCTTGCTCTCGATCCCACGTGAACTACGTGTGGGCCAGTCCCACACGTAACATCACGGTGAGTGGCCTTTCTCTGTTCAATATGGCGTCTATTTGGATGTTTGATCTTCATTAATACTTTCACCTTTTTTTCTCCACCGAATAATAAAAATATTCTTGTATAAAATACATCCAGGCTCTGAGGAAGGCGAAGTCGCCGAAACATCAGCCATCGACCAACAACAACAACAACAACAACAACAACGACAACGACAACGAAGACCTGTACCAACCTCGCTCCAACTTAAGAAGATCAGTTTATAAGATCATATAGAAAAGCATATCGTCGTTCAATGTTCTTTCCTTTCAATAACGCACAAGATTTTGGAGATTCAAGTGTCAGCCCACGTCTCAAGTGCATAGCAGAACGCTAGCAGGGCCGCTGAGTCCAAAAAGAGCACATAATTGTTAACCTGTTGATCAGAGACCTTAGGCTCATGGCTCCTGTGCTAGATCCCCTTTTTTTCCAAGTTCCGCTTTCACGCTACTCACATTTTTAGCGCATGTTCATTACTGTCTTGACTTTACTGGTAATATAAGCACATACGCTATGTGAGATATTTTGCAGACGAAAACATCTGGTGCCTAAGCATAAGCGATCTATTCAAGTCAGCTGCAGAAATAGTGGGAATGACTGAGAACTGCATTGTCCTAACATTTCTTGATAGTAAAGACAGGAACCTAAATATTAGCATAAGAGTGGAGTTGTGTTTTTCTTTGAAAAGACTTGATAAGAAGATGTTGCTGCGCTACTTAATGACACAGGGCTCTTTCAGCGTTGTTTAACAATTCGGTATATTCCCCTTTATTTAAGACTTGGAAAGAGTCAGAAAAGATGTAAATAACACCTCGTGTTTGGTAAACAAAGGTAGAAAGAATTATTCAACCAATACCTAGGTTAATAGAAAGTCGATCGTGGTAGTAAGAAGAGAGCTAATTAAACATTTACTTGATACTTGAACGGCCCGTCCTCACTAGTTGTGCGGGCCCCAGCATAATCACCATTTTTTGGAGATTTACTGGCTAAGCCATTGTGGTCTCGAGGTCAGCCCAGCCAAGGTCTGCCCCGGATCGTTACCACCACAGGCGGTCTCCGCCATTGCGGATCAGAAGGAGATTAGCCACCATGCGACTAGTTTGATAACAGTATGGTGGTAGATCCTTGTATTGATTTACTCTTAGCTGGTTTTCCTGATGGAAACGCCGAACACCTTCTCAGCTTGGGAGACGCTGCTGGGGAACGAATCCCCCCAGTACTTCGCAGCCTGGCATTCACACCTACCCACGATGAAGCGATAAACCGTTGGAGGCATTCCTGAACATATATATTTTTGGACTTTAATAACGGATTACAAAAATGATGGCTCAGAATCCATCACAGGTACATTTAGCAATGAACACACGCTCTCTCTCTTTCTGCCGGCGTTGACCAATCCCCGAGAAGGGCGTGATGCACTCGACTTCCTTCAGCATAGAGGTGGCTGAGTGCACATCTGCCCTATACGATAGCTCGCGGTTGCCAACCGATGTATCGAATCAGTGCAGCGAGCACCGTATCTTTCTTCTAGGCTCTTTGTAAAGAACTCTGAACATCGAATCGGTGGTCTTCCTGCAATATGTTTGACATCCCGAGGAATTTAGTCACTAACGGTTTTTGTCCATCGGTTGTCGTTCATACGCACTACGCGTATGGCCCACCTTATCTTCGATTGTTTGTCGTACAGAACGGCATCTTTGATTTTTGATCGTTGACGCAGATCGGAGCTTCGGATCCCATCCCTTACTTGTGTGGAACGGGATACTCCTAGCATCGTCCTTTAGACTGCGCATTCAATGACACAGTGATTCCCAGGATCGACTTTCTATTAACCTCGGCATTGGGATATGAATGCGTCGTTTTCTTGTCCAGCAATCGCGAGGTTTTTAAACAGCATGCATTTACTTC